CGGGAACCTTTTATTTGGGTTTCCGAAGAGGTATTTGAGGTTTCGTTATGATGGACATTATGGGTTTCCGAGGTCTCGGAAACCCTTCTTCGGATACCCTTAAAGGGTTTCCTATAGTAACAAACTCGGAAACCCTCTAAGAGTTTTCGAGAATACCTATTTTTTTTAGAGTGTAGGGAAACGGTAAACATACATTGACGGGTATATGTGATCGTCTATTGAAAAAAAATGAAGAAATCGATCTTATGTTTTGTGTTATTAAACCAAACGCAACGGCTAAAGTGAGGGATGCATTCAAAGCTCAATATAAAAGTAAAGCAAGTGATGCTGAGAGAGCATTCAAAGAAATTTTATTATTTGATACTAAACAACAGAAAGTTCAAAATAAAGAAAGTGATGCTAAAAGAGCATTCAAAGAAACAGTGTCATTTGATACTGAACAACATGAAGCTCAATCATATCATTTTGTTTTTGTTCTTGATGAATCAGGTTCAATGAGCCCACATTGGAACAAATTACAACAAGCATACAACAATTTCTTAACACGACGTAATGATGATCAAGGAGGAGATGATGTTATTACTGTTGTTCAGTTCGATAGCAGTGCACGTACGATTTGCTCGAGACAAAAAGTTATTGATGCTCCTCGTACACTTTACATTCATGGTGGTGGTACAGATTATGCACAAGGTTTGAAAGAAGCAACAAAAGAAATCGAGAAAGACAAAACAGGTGCATCGATTGTCATGACTTTTATGTCGGATGGTGCCGATTGTGGTAATGGTAATCCCGAAAATATAATTAGTCAGTTGAAATCAAAATACAAAACGGATCATAATTTTATTTGTCATACGATTGGTTTCAGTGAAGGTATTCAAAAAGGAAGTAAAGAAGAGAAAAGACTTGACCAAATGGCAAGCAATGGTGGTGGTAAAAAGTACATGGAAGAACAGGCGATGCACTGATTAAAAAGTTTGAAGATATTGCCGCCAATAGTACAACTAGTACACTCTAAAAAAAAATAGGTATCCTAGAAAACCCTTAGAGTGTTTCCGAATTTGTTACTATAGGAAACCCATAATGTCCATCATAACGAAACCTCAAATACTCATTCGGAAACCCCAAAAAAAGGTTTCCGAATGGAAAAAAGCTGTAGCTAGCTACTCAGAAAAAAGGTGTCATACTAAACCTTTTAAGGGGACCCCCCCCCCCCCTCAGAGAATCGATTTTTTTGGCAAAATATTGAAGTTGAGCTTTTATTTCAGGAAGATGCAACGAAGCTTCCTCTTTCAGAATATATATAGTTTTTTGGAAAATGATCAGATTATCAAAGACATATCGCATGAAACTCAAAATCCACTACCATGTTTTTGTAGAGAACTTCATGAGTTTTTTAGGGTTCCAGTTTCAGAAAAATTGCGTTTCCAGTAGCATTATCGTGAAATAGAACATTTTCATGCTGATCACAATGTTAGATGGTGCTAGTTGCCATCATCTGTGACGTCCTTTCAGACGCCCCAGTGGAATACACCATTGCAACATGAATTATTCTGGATTTTAATGAAAAAATCCATCTCCAACATTTCTTTAGCATTTTTCTCAAAACACGGTTTCTAGACAAAAAAATCGAAATAACTCCCGCTCGGCTAGGCATATAACCCATGATTTTTTTTGTTTTAAAGATCTCAAGAAGAGTAAACTTTTGTCCGACCAGTTTTTTTAAAGTCGATTCCTGCAATGAGAAAAGTGGAATTTACTGTCGTTAGACCACCATTTTTTATGCTGATTTTTAGACCCTTCCACTAAAATAGTCATAAAAAATCAATAAGATTGAATTTGAAAATTCTGTTCGGACAAAAGTTGCGTACTGACATTAGCTTCAATTTGAGACCAGCCCGAGCTCCATATCTCGTGTTATGGCGAAGTTATATCGATTGTCCTGAAGGTCAAAAATGACCTATGATTCAGCTGAAACTCCGGTTTGGTACGGTCAATCTGGCTGAAATTTTCACCGAGAGCGTATCTCTTCAGGATCACTCATCCCTGAAATTTTCAGCTCAAAAGTTCCATTCTAAGTGGGAAATCATTTCTGAGGAGGGGGGGGGGGGGTCCCCTTAACTGTTTTGAAGCATACTCATACATGGATGCGCTTCTCATTTGAAATTTGCTTGTACAAAATACTAAGTTCAATCGTTTTTTTTGCATTTTCACATTTTCTCCGTTCGCTTCATCTTTTCTTAATATTTTTTCCGTTCATTCTGTCTTTTAAGTTCTTTCGAGCAGAGTGGCGCAACAAAAGAATCTATCTTTCCGTATGTATATCAGTTTTTATTATAGTTTGTAGGCAATACGTCAGCCAAACTTTTCTAACAAGCTCAGTTACTGTCGAAAGGCAGTTTCCTCAAGTTGTTCTTATTTATTGTGCTCGCAAATCACGTACAAAACCAAGCTTATTGAAAAGCTAGTTATTAGTTAGACCACTTTCCAAAATGAGAATGAATGATATATAGTCTATCTAATTCTCAATTTTTTTGAACGGCTGTTATTATCACCATAATAGGAGCTGCCATTTCTTTTTCACATTGTGAACATGAGCATATGCTGTTACCTTCACTGGACTCGTTATCTTCCTGAGCTGAACTTCAAATTTTGTAATACTTATGCATGTATTCACGGATAAAAGATAATATTTTGATGGTCAAAACATTTGTGTTAATAAGACGAATAACAAAAACGAATGTATCGATCCACTAAACTTGTGAATTTTTTATAAATACTATCTCAATTAAATTTCCATTAACCCGAGGATTAACCCACGGGCAGCCCGTGACGGGTTGAAGAATCGTCAACCCGTGAAGTAACCCGCGGATCGAAAAAAATATCGCTCAACCCGTCAAGCGGGTCGGGATTGCGGGTCGGGTCAAAAAAAATTACTCACCAACATCTCTGATTTGGATAGTGGCTTGATCGACACCAGGGATGGACAAAATCGCATCGCGCCTCCCCGCGCTTCCCCGCATCACTGCTCGCGCCTAGGCGCTACGCACATCTCTCTTTCTCTTTGCTCTACCAATCAGTCTCTCAAACTCCACCGAATACCGGGATGCTCTAAGCATGCGCTCATCGAAGCTCAGACTAGTGTAGCGTAGGCGTGAGCAACGGCGCGGGGAGGCGCAGTGCGGCTTTATTCATCTCTGATCGACACCTTGTTTGCGAAGTTTTCGTCAATAACGTTGTAATTTTCGATTGCGTGGTTGTTTTTTCTTTATTTTGGATACTACTGATGTTGTTGGCTCTTGGCCGGTAAGTACTTGTGTTGGTGACAATAAGTCATACCATCGACCTTGTGCATCTTGACTTGGAGTCTTGATGGGTTCCGTATTCATACTTAGGACGTACCAAAAGTTCGTAGCCAGACGTTACTTAACCATAGAGTAACCTTTAAAAAACCTTCTTTCTATACAGTCTAATAGAGAAACGAATGCTCTATTTTTCTATGCTATTTGATCATACTTCAGCTAATATCGTGATAATAAATTTTCAATAAGACTTATTCCATTATCATTTGTGCTCGTAGTACTGGATTACAACGGATGAATCAGGTTAGTTTTCAATCCCTCAATACATTGTTTTAACGAACTAAAATATACTATAAGATGCAGCGTGAAAGCTCTACAATTTACATAAGATTACTTACTGTATAGTTGCACTTTTCGTTATCAAAATGAACAAAGTTTTGAGAGGTCAAATTTTCAGCATTGCAAAAATTGGTTGCAGATAGTTTTCCTTCTTTTGAAAACAATTGCAATAAGCTTTACTATGAAGACTGCATAGCTTTTCGCGCTGCATCTTGTGGTGTATTTTGTTTTCTTTTGATAAAGCTTTTCAAATGACGAAACGATGTAGTAACAAAAAATGAATTCGCCGTGTATCAAAAACATTATCAATTTCGCATGGTCGAAATTCGATCACTCACAATTTTGTCCATTTTGAAAGCGAAAAATACAACTATAAAGTAAACGGTCTTGGGTAAATTCTAGAGCTTTTCATGCTGCATCTTATAGTATATTTTAGTTCATTAATACAATGTATCAAGAGATTGGATACTGCAATGCGAAAATTACTAGAGCACAAATGATAATGAAAAAAGTCTTATCGAAAATTTATTATCACGATATTAGCTGAGGTATGATCAAATAGCATAGAAAAATAGAGCACTTTTTTCTCTATTAGACTGTATAGAAAGAAAGTTTCTTAAAGGTTACTCTATGGTTAAGTAACATCGGGCTACGAACTTCTGGTACGCCCTAAGTATTCATGTTCAATAGTTTAATCTACAATAGAAGAAAAAAATGTTTCAGATAATAATTGATTTGGAAAAAGAAACGTCAAAAACAAAGTTCAGTTAATTATAGAATAACGAAGCACATATATATCCTTGAGAAAAAAAAGCAAAACAACACAGATGACAATGAACTAACATTTCATGTTTTTTTTCTTCTTACTTTTACATCTTTAAAAAAAATAACAATTTTACGTACGAGGGAAGGTCCTCAAGTGTTACCCGGAGATTTCGACGAAACCTATATGAACTTTTCAAG